TGACGGTTTGCCTTGAGGCCCTGGAAGCATGCCTGAAGTGTTCTAAAACATTTCTTCCTACTATCTTCTGTTATGTCAAAAGTGCCTGCCAGTTGCACAGATTTAACTGGAAGAGGTAGGCCAGGTGTTTTTTGTTTGTTTTTGGAGACAGGTTTGCTCTGTGCAGTCCTGACTAGCCTGGAACTTGCTCTGTGGACCAGGCTGGCCTGGAACTTAGAGACCTGCCTGCCTCTGCCTCTTCCCAAGTACTGGGATTAAAGGCGTGAGCCGCTGCCGCCGCCTGCATGGACCAGGTGTTTCTAGTGATGAGTCTCAGTCCAGTCAACTAAATTCATAACTGGTTCCTTTGCTTTATTAATGAACCAAGCCCGGTTTTCACCACCTAGTGTGCCAATGGCTAAAACGAGGCATTTTGCAGAAGAGGAAGTGCTTATTCAGGAAGAACAAGCGGCGGCAAAGCTCTCCTCAGATCTGAGGCTGAAGGTAGCGGAATTGACGGGGTTGAAAAACAGGGTGGTCTGAGGCATGGGGAAGGCGGCTAAAGGAAAGCAAAGGGATTGCTGGCCTGCACACGTGTAATCAGACGCCGTGGGGCTCCAGGGGCATGTGTTCAGAAATGCTGGTGCTACCAAGATCTGGGGTTGGAGTTTTGTGTTTGACGCTAACAGGTCGCCCTCTGGACACGTGTGTAGGCCCCATGTAAAGGATTTTGAACAGTTTGAGATAGGCAAATGGCGGCCTGTAAAGTCACTTAGGTACCCGTTGTCACCGTGTCCCATACCTCAGAGGTGTCGACAAGTTCTGTTTAGCCATTGACTTGGAGAGGCAGTATCCCAGTGATGAACCCTTGCTTGTATGTCCAAGGCCCTGGTTCTATCCTTGACATTAAAAAAATAAATGAATCATCTTGGCAATGACCTCTGGGTTTCGAAGACTCTCGGAATGACAGGCAGAAGAGAGGTCGTTTTCGACAGACTTTTCAGTGAATTCTGAACCCACTGTTATCCGGTCACGGTGCAGCCAAAGGGATGTATTGGGTCAGTAGATGCTCAGTGGATAAATGTGTTCTGGTTGTCCTCCTTCATTTTTGTTTTGATTTTTGAGACAAGGTCTCCTCACGTTGCCCTGCTTGACCTGAAGCGTTCTTTGCACGCTAGGCTGGCCTCGGGCCACAGAGATCTGCCTGCCTCTGACTCCCTAGTGCTGGGATTAGAGGAGTGCACCACCACACCCGGCTCCTGACGTGATTTGATTACTGTAAAATGCCCCTGAGCTTCTACAGTTCCAGTTTACTTGGATGAATTTACGGGGAGGCGCCTTTTCTGATAAACAGGAAAAACCCCTAGCTTGGCAGGCAGCAGGGGCAGAAAAATCTCAAGCACAGCAGACAGAATCAGCGGTTGAAGAGTTTATAGGGGTAAGGACGCGCGCACACACAGGCTGCAGACACAGAGAAAAAGACCCTCTGCTAAGCAGAGGGACACTCGGAAGCAAAAATGCCAGTCTTCTTGAGGACTGGGTTTTTTGTTTTGTTTCTTTAATTTCTGAAGCATTTTCTTCCCCTAATTTGGAGTTGGTTGGTTTGAAGAAAGATAGAAGCACTGTTTGATTGGCCCACAACTGTTGTGTGTGACGTGTCTTGATCTGCCTTGAACCGGTCCATCAGCAGGGGTCTGCTGTGGGGAGAAAAAGGCCTACAAGGCCTTTGCTTTAAGCTGCCAGACTCCTGTCTCAGGTCAGGAGGGGAGGAAGAGGCCAGCTGTCTGGGAAGTTTACCTTTTCTTGTGTAGCCGCAGCCCCTCTCTCGAGCTGTCTGCCTCCCAGTGTCTCTCTTTTCCTTTTAGGAGTAAGGTGTTTATCAGCCTGTGCCTCATGGAGGTGCTGGACAGATTGTTTTACAAGTCCATCAAGGTGTGGCATCATCCTCCTTCCTGAAAATGAAGCCTCCAAGGGCAAGGTCTAGCCTGGCAAACCCCTGTTTTACACAATGTGGAGGAACTCAGGGCAGGACACAACCTGACCTCAATACTTACACCATTCCCAGCACACAATAGGGGTCCAGGGATACTTGGGGGGGGATTTGAATATAACTGTGTGGTCTGGTGTTAGGATCCTAGGTATACCCTGTGCTGGCTGTGTGATCTTGCACAGATACGAAACATCTCTCGAACCTTGGGGACCTCATAACAAGGGGACAATGGTTTGTCCTTGGGCCTGGGTTGGGAGGATAAAGTACTAAGTGACAAGGGCTTCGAATAAATGCCCAAGTTACTAGTGTGATAAGCTGCCACTGAGTGGAATTATGAACTTGAATTCTTAAATTACAATTAAATTATTTTTTATTTTAGTTTAGTCTTCATTAAATTTGTTTAAGATTTATTTATTTATGTATTTATTTTTGGCTTTTCAAGACAGGGTTTCTCTTTAGTTTTGGAGCCTGTCCTGGAACTAGCTCTTGTAGATCAGGCTGGCCTCGAACCCACAATGATCTGCCTGCTAGGATTAAAGTCGTGCAACACTACCACCTGGCTAAGATTTATTTTTGCGTTTAAGGCCAAGGCCAGTCTGATCTACATAGTGAGTTTCAGGACAGTCGGTGGTATGTGGTGAGATCTTGTCTTGAAAAAAAAAATTTATTTTATATGTGTAGATGTTTTTCCTGCATGTATGTCTGCGTACCCCATTTAGCAGCGCCTGTGAAACCTAAAGAGGGGGTCAGATCCCCTAGAATTGTAGTTACAGGTGGCTGTTAGCTGCTGTGTAGGTGCTAGGAACTGAACCCTAATCCTCTGCAAGAATGGTTAAGTACTCCTAACCACTGACCCATTTCTCTGGTCCCCAAATTTATTTTTTTTGGGGGGGGGGGGATAAAGTCACACCACGTAGGTCATGCTAGCCTTGAACTCACTGTGTAGCCCAGGCTTGCCTTAAGCTCCTCTTTCCTTAGCCTCCTGAGTGCCTCCAGAGAAATGGCTCAGAGGTTAGGAGTACTTAACTGCTCTTACAGAGGGTTAGGGTTCAGTTCCCAGCATCCACCCAGCAGCTAACAACCACCTGCAGCTCCGGAGCCTGAGCTGAATTGTTCTTATTTCTGTTGTGGAAGAGCCTATTGCTCTTGTTCTTGTTGACAGACTAGAAATGCCTGAGGTTCAGGTTGGGATGTGAAGTCTTCAGCCGTTCTGGCTTTGAGGCACTGGACCCAGTGAATTATTACAGACTTATCACCTAGCTCTGTTTGAGCTATTGATTCCCTCCCTCCATAAATATGCATCGGAATGTGTGCTAATACCTGGCCCATTCATACTGGTGTGTTCGTGTGTGTGTGTGTGTGTGTGTGTGTGTGTGTGTGTTATGTACCTGCCCCTGAGTGATCTGCCCCCTTGGAGCTTGCATTCCTGGTAGAGAGACAAGAAGAAAACAAGATAGTTTCAGTGATAAGAACAAGGCTGTGTGATAAGATTAAAACACTGAGAAAGGTGGGTTTGTCAGAGGGTTGTCTGGAGGAGAAGTTAGATGTGAGGATAAATATAGGCGGAAGTCAGCTTTCAGAAATGTGGAGCGGGGAGGCTAGAGAAGGCAGAGGGTGAGAAAGAAGGCTTATAAAGCAGTGTGGGCTGAAGGCGGTGGGAGGTGGCTTGGGTTGGCAATGATTTTCCACAGTCGTGTCCACTGGACTCAATAAAGGCTTGGGCACAGGTCTGAGGGAATTCAAGACACTAGACATTTCCCCAGCCCCCACCCTGTCCCCTTGTGCTTGCTAGGCAAGCTCCCTGCCTCTTAGCCATGCTCCCAGTTTCCCACCAAGGTTTGGATCTGAACAGCTGGGCAACATCTGCAGCTGGGAAGGCTGGGGCGTTGATCGGGGAGGAGACTGTCCTCCTGGGAGGAGTCTATCGGAGCTGAGTTCTCAGTGGGGAAAGAGAGTGCTTGAAGTGGCAGAGAAACCATCCAACTGACAAACAGGAGTTCCTTAAATACGGTGGAATTTTAGGTTCATAAAAAGAGAAGGGCCGGGCGGTGGTGGTGCACGCCTTTAATCCCAGCCCTCGAGAGAGAGAGAGAGAGAGAGAGAGAGAGAGAGAGAGAGAGAGAGAGAGAGAGAGAAGGTAGCAGTCAGTCGAAATCTGAGCATTCAGGTAAATAAACCTGGTATCACATCTAATTGGCATTGGACAATAGTGTTAAAAGTATCTAACTGTATTTTGCTGAATATGATGGCACACGACTTTAATCCCAGCATTTTAAGATTGGCATAGAGATCTATGGTCTACGTAGTGATTTCCAGGGCAGCCAGGACTACATATGAGACAGTCTAAAACTTTTTTTAAGCCTGTATTTTCAAGTTAGGTGTAAGGTAGACACATAAAAATATGCAGTAAGATCAGGGGAATGGTATAGAGAAGTCTCCAATTCACTGATTTGGGAAGGACACTTGAGTTATAGAAACATTTATAAATAACCTTTAGAAATAAATCATTGTGTTTGTTTATTTAGGAGGGCTGGGAATTGCACCCCAGCTAAGCATATGCCATACCAAAACCTTAATATTGTAGCAGACAGATACAGACAGGCATAAAGAAAATATCACTGGAGAAACCCTGGGCTCAATCCTCAGTGGCGATGGGGGACAGGCTGTACAGATCAGTAGCCGGTTTGTCCCTGGAGGTATCCCAGCTTTATCTCGTTCCTGGTTCTGTCCCCTCCTTGTGATAAAGGCAAAGAACAAGGCACAGGCTCATCTCTACATTGTAACCAGGGACAGAACCTAAGTGGGGAGCAGGTTTTGTGGGGTAGGAACATGAAGACCTGGCTCCTGTCCCCCTGAATGTCATCACTACTGTAACTGCGCTAAGGTTTATATTAAGGATGTGTCCTCAGGAAGAGGTCCAGTGCATCACCCCACCCCATCCTGCTGCTCCTCCGGCCTCCCCCATCTTTCCCAGAGGCCTTTCCATTCAAGCCATCTTTCTACCTAACTCACCTCACAATCAAGCAGTGCCTTTTTGTGTTTTTTTTTTTTTTCACACATGTACTAATACTACCGGTTTTTATTTTTATTGTTTGATGAGGTCTAGGGTGACTTCAAGAGGCAGGAGGAGGTCTGGGACCCAAAGATGACATTTCAAACCTAGGACAAAACTGGTTCCGCCAAGCCCTGGTGACGCTGAACCCAACGAGCGTCTCAAAATAAGCATTTCTTTTTCTCAAAATACAAGCTGCAGCCCCAGCGAAATTTCAGCCCGTTCTTTCCTCCCGGGGAGGTCGCAAAGCCATATTTTCCAGCTAGAGAGTTTCCCATCCCTGTGAAAATGATTTGCCCATGACTCCTGTTCCCCCCCCCCCGCGGAGCCGCACTCTCTGAATTCTGTCTTGTATGTGTATGCTTGGTAACAGACACACACACAGCCTTGCCCTGGAGAGAAATCACCGCAGACGGCAGAGCAGTAAGCAGGTGGCAGTAGTGGGACTTCTCTGGGGTGCGTTTAGTATTCCGTGTGCGTTGTCCTCAGCAACCTCACGGCCGTGAAGACGAAGCTGCCTGTCTGTGCAGCTTTCTGTGTCTTAGGCTGAAGAGGTTTGTGGTGGACATCAGTTGTCGTGCAGGTAACACAGCTTTATGCCGTCTGACCATTGCTGGGTCTGGGAAGCAGCTCATGCTTCTGCTTTCCTGGCCTTTGTCTTTGGGCAGCAAATTTGCTGACAAAATGACATATGATATGCAAATGAGGGAGGGCTGAGAAGATAGCCGTGGGCTTTGCATTTTTTATATATTTTACCTATGCCATGCTGCCTGCATATCCCGATTTTTTTTTTAAACTTCCCCTATAGAACTTGACTGAGCAGGCCAGTCTGAAGCAGTCCCCAGCTGTCACTGACCTGGGGCTCTGCTGAAGCCTCTCTGCATGGCCACCCTGAGCCTCAACATCCCCTCCATACTGTCTTTACTTGGAGACGTTGGCTTTTCCGACCGGGGACGCTCTGTGCACTGCCTGCTAAACACCCCAGTCCTACCATTCCCCCCCAGTGAGGAGCCCTGGCAGGAGGGAGTGCGATACCCTCACTCTCACGCATCCCTGAGGACACGTGTCTGCCCCACCTGCCCAGAACAAACGCTTGGGAAATGAAAATGTCAATTAAGCTGGGTTGCCATAGCAACCCCAATCTCATATTTGCTGTTAATAGAAAAAAAAATAAAAAAATAACCAGCCCAAGGCTGAAGACTGAGTTGGTTGAATTCCTCAGTTGTTCCGTTCACCCTTTCAGAACGCGCGCACACACTGTGCACGCTGGTTTGCAAAGACTAAAACAGCCAATGAGGCTTTCTTAAATGGTTAGCGGGAAAGAACCCAGGGCACTGTTCATACGAGACAACCTGTCTCCACAGGGCCATACCCCAGACCCCCATAATGCATCTTTAGTTTTGTTTCTCACCATCATCTTTTTTTTTTTTTTTTTTGGGTCTTTTGAAATGGGATTAGCGGTATCGTTGTCATGGTCATCATGGGGTGTGTGTGTGTGTGCGTGCACATGTGTATGTGTATGATACATGTGGAAGTCAGAAGACAACTTGATGGAGTTCTTTCTCTTCTACCTTCTGGTGGGTTCAAGCTCAGGTCCCAGGTTTGCATGGCCCCTGCTGGCCCCCATGGATGTATGCTTTTAGGCTGGCTTCACACTTGCAGACCCCCTTCCTGCCTGGGCTTCCAGAGTGACAGGTGGGGCTCCAGCTCTGTGACGTGCCTTGCTGGGACGGAACGATGAGATGGGCCCAGAAAAACTGTGCTATTCTCTTGACCTGGCACGAGTTCTGCTGCTGTTGCTTTTCACTCTGTTGTTTGTTTTTACAACAGGGCCTCTCTGTGGCGCATTCTACATGGACCACAGGGATCCCCCTGCCTCTGCCTCCTGAGTGCTGGGATCAAAGGTGCGGGCCTACACCTAGACTTGTCCCTTAAACTGTCTCACCTCCTGAGTGCTGGGGTTTCCAGACTATACCACTGCATCCTTTGTTTACATGGTTCTGGGGAAAGAATCCTGGGTTCGTGTGCTGTGGGCAAAAAGCAATAAACTGGGCTTACATCCCTAGCTGTCTGCGCCCCTTGCTCCCTGCCCCGCCATCTTTTTGAGGCAGGGTTGCTCTCGCTATTGACTCTGATCCCCTGGCCTCAACCTCCCACTCATGAGATAACAGGTGTGTGTGCCACAGCACGGGGTGTTGAAATATGAGCGGCGGGGCTGCGTCCCCAACACCCCAGCCTCTTGGCTAGCTCATGCCCGAAATAACAACACACAAACTATATTCATTTAACTGCTTGGCCCATGAACTCTAGCCCTTACAGGCTAATTCTCGCACCTGGACTAGCCCATTTCTAGTAATGTTTTAAGCACCCCAAGGTGCGCTTACCAGGAAGATTCTAGCCTATGTCCATCTTCATTGCGTGTGCCTCAGAGAGCAGAGCTATCGCGTCTACCCGGGAGAGCTGAGCATGGCGTCTCTGCTCCAGCAGAGCTGTCGGGTCTCTCCAGGAGCAGAGCAGAGTCTGACCTCACTTCCTCTTCCGCCCAGAATTCTATTCTGTTTACTCCTCCCATCTATGTTCTAAGCTGAGGCCAAGCAGTTGGTTTATTATAATTTAACCAATGAAATCAACAGATTGATATATGACACTCCCACATCAACGGGGCTTAAGGTTTTGTTTAATTTTGTTTTGCTCTTGCCACAGTGCTCTCCCCCACACCAGTGGCTCTGCCAAGGAACACTGCAAATATGCCTGTATCGACTTTCAGTCTCCTGGAGGCGTAGCCTGTGGGTCAGGTCCCAGTGGGACGCTTTCACTCCGGAGGAGTCTTTCAAGTCCTGAGTGGGGACTAAGGGCCCAGAGACAGAGGCCTAGGTCAGCAGGCTTTGCCCATCCGTGTTTTCAGTGCTGGACACTGAGCCCAAGGCCTTTGGCATGGAGGCCCTGCCAACTTTGTACTTTTTATCTGGGGACAGGTTCTGGTTCAGGCCAGCCTTGAACTCACTTTGAACTTGTGATTCTCCTGCCTCAGTCTGCTGAGTGGCTGGGACGATACGCTTGTACAGACCCTGGGGACTCTGTGGGTTTTCTGCCCTAAGTTTTGTTAGGCACAGTTTGGGGTAACTTACCCCCGTAATCCTGGTCTGGGAAATGAGGCCGACAGGAGCCATGCTTCCCAGGCTGGAGGTGTGGTTCTGTGGTTAGCCCGTGCCTGGAATGATATAGTCCATCCACAGCCCCCTACCCACCAAAAATCACTTCCTTTATAGGGTTGTTCTGATAATTAGTTGAATTGCCACAGACATGCTGGCTCATAGTGAGTGTTCCGGAGATGTGAACCTTTGTGGCGTGAGTGTTGGTGAGGGAATTCACAGAGGAGGGAGGCATCTGCCATCACAGGAAGTACTTGCTTTAAAATGGTACTTTTTAGTTTTTTCCTTTTCTTTGTTTTGAGGCAGGGTGTTACGTAGCTTAGGCTGTCTTCCATATCATTGTGGAGCCAAGATTGATCTTGAACTTCTTATCCTCCTGCCCCAACTCCCAGAGTGCTGGGATTACACGTATGTACTGCCACCCAGCCCTGGCTTTTCAGTGCTAGGTGTGAGCCCAGCGCTTGCTTCATGCATGTTGGGCAGGTATTCCACACACAGCTGAGTCCCCAGACCTCTTTGCTGATGTTGGAAATGCATGCCAGCTGTCCTTTAGAGCCGACTGGATGTTGTTAATAGCATGTATCTTCTCTCCCTATCAATATACAAGTTGGTTTGGTTTTTTTTTTTGTGTGCTTTTTTTTTTCATTTTATTTATTTTATTTTCCACCCTTGCCAAGGCCAGAGATCAAACCCAAGGCAAGAAGTGCCAAGTGTATGCAAAACCACTGAGACATTGCTCACTCTCCTCTTTCAAAAGAAGGTGGCTCGGGCCTGAAACAGAGCAGTTGAGAGTGGAGGCAGGAGCATCAGGAGTTCAAGATCAGTCTCAGCTACATAGTGAGATCCTGTCTCAAAAGACAAAAAACGGCTTAGGGCTGGGGTGTGGTGTGGTGGCGGCACTCACCTAGTGTGTACAGGCTCTGGGTTGGATGCCCAACCCCATAAAGCCGTTGTGTTTCGTTGTTCTCGTCTGATGAATGGTCAGACACAACTATGCAGATGTTGGTATTGAACCCCGTGGGCAATGGGACAACATCTCTCCCATGACTGTCTCAGAACAAAAAAAAAAAGGAGCCTCCTTCTTACTCACAGGGCGGAGGGACCTGCAGGGAGTAAGCCAGCCTTAGCAAAGAGGAAGGCCAGGAAAGATGTTTTGTGTGGCCTTTCCCCTCTCCTAAATTTTATATTCTCACCCAGGCATCTCCCACAGTTCCCCAGATATAGTCTCTTAGGGGGAGATGGAGCAGAGGCCTGAGCAGTGCCAATCACCCTCTGCTTCCACAGGGCGACTGCCAGGGAGTCTGGAGGCTGCACCCATTCAGGAGAGCAACCAACCTTATTTGTGTTTCACAGAGTTCAGAATCTTAGCTTGATGGAAGGGAAGGAAGAAGGGAGGGCCAGCAAGATGGATAAAGGCTCAGTGGGTAGAACTGCTTGCCTCCAAGCCTGATAACCTGAGTTCAAATCCCTGGGATCCCACCCATGGTAGAAGTCAAAAGAATGACTCTCCCAAATTTTTCCCTGCCCCCCCAGATGTACTATAATACACAAATGTACAACCACATACAAAAAAAGTTTTGTTTTGTTCTTTTGTTTAAAAAAAAAAAGATGAAGCAGTCTAGGTGATGGTGCACGCCTTTAATCCCTTTACTCAGGGAGGCAGAGACAGGTGGATCTCTGTGAGTTCGAGGTCAGTCTGGTCTTACAGAGCAAATTCCAGGACAGCTAGGGCTACAAAGAGAAACCCCATTTCAAACCCTGACCCCGCGCCCCCCAAAATAAAACAATGGTAATGAGTTTCTAAACTATGGCACATGTATTACTTTAAAAGCCAAAGGGTAAGCGCATTCCTAAATAGGGTATCTCATTAAACTAATCGTAAGTAGTGGGTACAATGCCTCATAAAAAATGTGACTGAGCCTGTAATCCCAAAACTCAGGAGGCTGAGACAGGAGGAATGAGAGTTGCAGGCCATTCTGGGCTACAGACTGAGACTCAGGGTGAATGGCTCCCTCCTTAAAGTGATTGTCTTCCCAGCATGAGCACCTGTCTTGAGTCCCCAGGACCCACATAAAATGCCGGTCCTGGTGGCACGTGCTGGAGTCTCAGCCCTGAGGAGGCAAACCTAAGACGATTCATGGAGCTTGCTGGCTAGCCAGTGTAGCCTATTTGGAGAGTTCCAGGCCAAAGAGAGGTCCTGTCTTTTTTTTTTTTTTGGTTTTTTGAGACAGGGTTTCTCTGTGGCTTTGGAGCCTGTCCTGGAACTAGCTCTTGTAGACCAGGCTGGTCTCGAACTCACAGAGATCCGCCTGCCTCTGCCTCCCGAGTGCTGGGATTAAAGGCGTGTGCCACCACCGCCCGGCAAGGTCCTGTCTTAAAGGAGATGGATGGTACCCTAAGGACCTAAGGATGACCCCCAAGGCTGTCCTCTGCCCCCCCCCACTATGCACATAAAACAAGAACAACAAAAACAAAACTTGGGAGTCTGCACTCCAGGTCTGAGATCCATGGAGAATGGTGGCCATGATTATTCCCATTTAGTAATTTTAGCCTCTGCCCCTAAAGAGTCCCTAGAACAAGGAACCAAAGTCCCAAATGGAGTTGTGCCCTTCTGTGCTATTGTGTGTCAGTGTTCTGATCTCTGATGTTGAGATCATAAGTGGGTTTTTTCATAAATTTATTTATTTGACATCCCGACTGCTGTTTCCCTGCCTTCCTCTCCTCCCAGCCCTTCCCTATCCACTCCTCCTCCATTTCTATTCAGAGGAGGACAGACCTCCCATGGGTATCAATCAAACATGGCGTATCAAGCTGAAGGCTAGACGAGGCAACTCAGTATGAGGAAAAGGGTCCCAAAAGCCAACCACAGATGGAGAATAGACATCATAGGTGTTTTGACCTCTGGGGACAGCTTCCAGGTGGAGTATCCTTGGGGAGAGATGGCCCAGACCATGCCTGGAAGTTCCCCCTCTCAGTGTGAGTCCTGCCTGGCTGCTCTGATGGTGTACAGGCCCTGCTTCCAGTAGAGGCTCATCCCCCTGGGTCCCTTCACGAGCTGGAGTTTGGCTCCTTAGAGTGCTGTCCACAAGCAGGAATTATGTCCAAGCAGAGCTTTGGAGCCCCTCAGCTTCCCTTTGCTGTAATCTCAACTCCCTCTTTCCTGGGTGTCCAGTGGGAACACCTGTCCCAGATGCCACTCTGAGCCCCTTCTTTTTAGAAGAGCAGTTGGAGGTGATTCTGTAAGAATCCCCCTTTAAAACTAACTACCCGGAGGCTGGGGAGATGGCTCTGTGGGCAATGTGCCTGCAGCACAAGCAATGAGGGATCATGTTCAAATCCCTAACATCATATAAAAAGTCGGCTCCTGTGAGAGATCAGCTGATCCCAGGGACTACCAGCCAGTGCAGCCAGTTAGGAGCTCCAGATTTAATTAGAAACTTGGGCTGAACAAAATAAGGCAGAAGGGCAGTCGAGCTGACTCAAGGTGAAGGTGCTTATGAAAGCCTGAAGGCCTAAGTTCAATCCCCAGAACCACGACAGAAGGACGGGACTGACTCCTGAGACTGTCCTCCAACTCTCACAGGCATGACATGGCGCACACGCTCCCGCACTTACACAGGCACACTGAACACACATTTGCAATAAGTAAAATTTAATTCTTTTCATTTTGGTAAAGAGCAATAGAGGGAGACACCTGACGTTGACCTCTGACCTCTACCTAGGCATGCATTGGTACATGCACACATATATAATACAAATACACACATACACACAAACACAAAGATAAAAAGTGAATATAATCGTCATAGCTGAGACTCCAAGACTGATTTTTATATTTTTGTTTTGTTTTCTACATATCTCACTCTAACTCAGGCTGACCTGGAACTCATATATCCGAGGGTGGCTTTGATTTCACAGCAATTCTCCTGCCTCAGCCTCCAATGTATATGGTCACCAGGCTGGACTTGAAATGCAGTATCCAAGACCCAAGGTCTAGGCCTCATCTTCCTGCAGGCATCGCTGACACTTGAGGACAGGGGACTCAGACTCTGCCTTGTTGGTGTGCAACCAGAGGTGCTGCAGGGGCTGCCGGCCTCCCAGAGCTTCAGGGGGAGCCTGAGAAACTGTCCCTGTGGATGAGGAAACAGGGCTGTCGTCACATACCTTACTCACTGAGCCCCGGCCTGGCTCATCTGCACTTGGTCCTTGGCCCTGTTTCACAGTTTCTGTCTTGGGTTGAGTAATCTCAGACTTTCAGGACTCAGGTCTCCCTGGCAGAGGTATTTCTGCTGCTGGGTCTTTAATTAGAGGCCAGGCTCCCCCTTCCTTTCTGTCTAAGCTGTCCCCTCAAAGACCTGATAGGAAACAGGCTGACCTTACCTCTCCTTGCGGCCCCCCAGGGACTGGCTTTGGTGACATTTCCAAATTTATCAAAGTCTCAGGCAAGCCCAGAGCATAACAATTACTTGAGGCCCTGGGGATTTGTGCTTAATATATTTTTCTTT